ATATGGCACTTTAATGTTATGCCCTCTTTGTTAGCCAAATTAGACCTTAATACTTCAGTATCATGCACAATTAGTGTGGCATTAGTGACATCCTACAACAAGTATATTACTAAGACCCCAAGTGAGAAATAAAGTCTTCCAGGAATGATTTATTTTATTGCGTGAACTGATGAGAATCAGTTAAATTGCCTTTTAATTGACTGGCTGTCTAAGTAACATGCCTTTGAGGGAAACACTACTTTTGAAATTTCCGTTGGCCAGGAGGGGAAGGGGCAGGCCTAAGTCTTTGAAGTCTACAGCCATCAGACTAATTATCAGCGCCACTCAACGTCCATTCATTTAATTACAATAAATTCAAAAGGATGCGGAGTTTTGGAGAAAAATAAAAGAGTCAATAAATGGTGACAGAAATTCCAGACTATGCAAATTATCAGTGCCTTTTCTGGAGGAGACCACTAGTTCTCTCTGTGAGAGAGAGAAGCAAATATGCTCACACTTGACTAATGCAGACACAGGGAGAGTATGAGGGGGGAGGGCGAAGGAAGGGACACACACTTATTTGGAACTCACTAGATTCCAGGCACTGTTCTAAGTACACTATATAACTGAACTCACTTAATCCTCATACATACACAATCTTATATACAACCCTATACGGACTATACACTATTTACTATTTTCTCTATTTTACCCTTGTGGAAAGTGTAGCACAGGAAGGTTGAGTAGCTTGCTCCAGGTCACACAAGCCAGGAGGTAGTGGGGCCAATTCAAACCCAGGTGGTCTGCCCGCAACAGCACGTTCTCAACTACTGCCCTCAATAGAGGCTCTCAAGGTCCCGAATCACGATGAGGTGGAAGAGGCCTGCCAACTCCTCCTAGTCTAATGTCAAAGGCCATCGCTTTCCAAAGGGCATAAGAGGTCTTGGAGACAGGGAGAAGGAGCAAGACGAGGACCTCCCATAGGAGGGCACCACATCTCTGGAACAAGCAGGACAACTGACGCAGTAGCAGGCAGTGACGGAAAAGTTGGGAACCCAAGCTCTGAGTGAGCCGGGAGCAAACAGTCATAGAGGTTGAATAAGAGGATTTAAACCCTGACGGGTGTGATTCCGAATCCACCCACCTTTCATGATACCACATGGCTGGACGACAAAGGATTATATGCGCTCGGCTTCTTCTGGGAAAAGATGCAGAAGCAAACATTTTTAAAGCTTGAAGGTTGATGTTTTGATAAAAAATTCCTTTGTTCCTGACATTTAAATTGATATTTGGAATTGAGATCAGATTACTTGCAAAGCTGGATAGCGGGAATGCCGTCAGGGGTCTTTTAACAAAACATCAGAGACAGGAGAGATGCCTAAAACAATCCAGAGCATACTGGGAATTTCACCTTTGATTAGGGCATCCCATCACATGTATTTTGTAACTTCTCAACAGCTTACTAGGACTGCTGCTAATCGGTGGGCACAAGCCACCGCCCCTCCAGTATTTGCTCTGGTGCCTGGTACTTGACTTAGAACGACGAAGACAACCACAGCAACCAATTCGTGTCAAAAGAAACGACTTCTCCCATATCCTTAATTTGGAACAAGAATAACATTTGGAATTCCATATGAAGCTCAATATACTGTAACAAATTTTTTTCCTCAACATGCTTTTTAGCTTCCAATTCCCCTGGTTGGTGAAGAGTTAGTTTTGCAAAAGACTAAATTTTATCACTTGTTTTGAATCTCTGCTAACATAGAGACGTGTGACATGGTCCGAATGTTCTTTTACTCTCGTGGGATGCTCAGGCCATCAAAATTTCATTAGCCTCACAGCAGTTCTAGCGCCTTCTTAACTTGAACTGTTGGCCTCTTTATCAATAAATAAATGAAATCTAATTCCTTTTAGCGACTAAACTCTTCTTAGAAGTTATAACTAGAACATCAGGCGCTCAGCTTGCATAATTTTACAAATGTTGAATGTTTTCTGGGGAAAACAGCCTTATTCACAATTATTTCAAATGATGAAAACAGTCAACGAAAATTCCCATGCTAACCTGGATGAAAACAAGTCAGTGTCTGGTTGCTAAATTAGTTTCATTTTGGTGAGTTATTTTATGCACGTCCTTCTTGTTTCAACCTACAGTGATAGAATAGAACTTCCAAGGGCACATCTCAAACTAGTCCAAAAATGAATAAAATTAGACAAAATAATTGAAAGTCAAAGGAAAATATAACTGGAAAACCAATAGTCTTTCAAAGTTAGAGCAATTAAAAATAACTGAAGAGGGTAGAGTTGAATTATTTTAGTAATTTTACATTAGAAATATTTGACCAGAAGTAGTAATAATAGCAAAAATATGTAATAGTTTTGAGGATATTGTTTATAAAGATCTTAAAAGACTATGTGTATGATTATAAATTTTAGCTTTTACTATAACCCAGCTTAAGATAAAATTTTTATATCAGAAAAAAATCCTCAATACTCTAATTCCACAATTCAATATTATAAGGTCTGCTAAATATCTCAGAAAATTATGCCTCCCCCAGATCTTAATGCAATTAATTACTTTAAATGGAATCTTGCTTCTTCTGACTAATCACTGAAAATTCAGAACAAATAAGTCAATCTGAAATGTTCCTATGGACATATATATTAAATCTATGCAATAGCTATTATTCAGTAAGAGGTCATATCTATTTTATTTTCTCTTTTGTTTTCTTCCTTAAGCTGACCTCGCGGGGAGTTCTTAGACCAACAAAATGTTATTTAAAAAAACAACTACAGCCAAACCTCAGGGAAAGAGTAAACACAAGCTTAAGTCATCACTTGCCCAGCTCAACAAACATTGTTTTTGACACTTTATACTCTTAACTTGGCTGACCTGTTTACTCTCAACAAATGCTACCAAATGTTCTGAATTTCAAGGCAAAGCCCTGGACCCGTCTTCTCTCTCTTCATTCTGCTTCATAATAACCACTTGGAGAAATGAAAGAGCACGTCTCTTCTTGCCTTTACATCCCTCTGAGAACAGGGAGTATGAGAATCCTGGGGAAACAAGGTCCTCCTCTAGTTAATAATAATCCATGCAGGAGAGGGCCAGTGGTGTGAGAAACTCACAAATCTTACTCCTCTCCTCCCAATCATTTGGATATTTTCTACTGTTAACCATATGTTGCCAAGTTTGTAGCTTTATATTTTTAATAAAATTAATTTATAATTTACCAACACAGATACAATAACAAGATACACTTGTTATTAGAGAGAGAGAGAAAGAGACGCTACAAAGGTTGTGGGTGGAAAGGGCAAGATGACCCGATGTGAAAAAATATTTAATAGATATGGATATGGACGATCTCCAATACAGATAATCAGACCTGAATGCATTATTCTGCTGCATTCTACCCTTCTCTTTTCTACACCATAATACATTTTATCGTACATTTTAGGAAAATCAAATGCCAAATGCTACATTTGAATATAACCACTGTACCTGCAATTGCTCAGAGTGTTATGCGAAGATGCAGATGGACGAGAAACAAAGTTTATGCCAAGTCTTATGTATTTAAGGTTAGTGACTTCTGAATCCACATGGAAAACTGATATGAACATAGGTTTTACTGAGGTGAATGGATTAGCTCAGGGAAATAAATGTTGGTAGCCTGATTCTAAGACTCATTTTGTCAGAAAGAACTGCCCTTGTTTCCTGTTTTGAGGTGGAATAAAGCCAGCCTCCACCAAGAACTGACACTTCCAAAATGAAATATTGAGTGCATATTATTAATTGATCTTGACTTTGGTTTAATGCACTAAAGTGCTCTACATAAGATATGGTATTGTTTCTTTTGGTTTAAATTAGACTTTTTTTTCATGAATAGAAAAGAATCTAGTAATAAGCCATGGGAATCACCAGGTACCACCTCATACTGTGACTTAGCTGAAACTGAAGGCTGACAATAGACCTGCCTATCTATTACAAAGCCAAGCCGACAAAGTTGCTCAATAAATAATAAAAATGAAACATCATCGGTAAAACAACCATCTTTCTTTTCAAACGTCATGCAATTCTTCCATTTTAATTTTCTCTTTGATTCTTGATGCATTGCATACACACAGCATTAATAACCAGATTGAATAGCAAGTGCACTGTTAATATTAAACGCTGAAGGAGAAATGTCTTTTTGGTGACTGGCGTATCAATGCTGATGCTCCAATTCTTCCTAGAAGCAGCACTGACTAAAAATTAAGTTTCCTTTTAAATCTCTTATTGCCTATAAATTAACTGTTTTTATTATCCTGCATTAGCAATAGGAAAAAAGTCTCAATAATTTACAAAGACATTTTTCTTACAACATGTAAAGCTGCTATTTGGATATCCTAAAATCCAATTTTTGTGCATGGATTTAATTGCATAGTAATCCAGTCCATAAAACACATCAAAGACCACACTCCCCCTCTTCACCAAGCTTTCAATTGCTCTCATCAACTAGTAAGTTTAAAGCATGATCAAATTTGTTCTTCAATCACTTGAGCCCTGTTAATAAACTATTCTGTGTGCTCACTCATCCATTCTAAGATTTTGCAACTTCTTTGAGATATCTTCAAGAGGAATCTACAAAGACATCTTTGATTGCCAGCTGGCTCTGGGGTAAACTTGATCGCCACTTGCTTTGCTCTCCACGGAGGATAACAGGTGACATGGTCCAAGATAAGTCAAAGCTAATATATTTTTTACAAGGTTAAACGGTTTTTCAAAACTATAGCTAACACATCATAGACCACTTGCATAATTTAACAATCCGATGTCGAAAATTGATTTTTTCCAGGAAAAAAAAATGCATTATTCAAGGACATTTCTTGAGTTCCACTGCATTAAAACAAAAAGGAAGGAAGAAGAAAGAAAGAGAAGGAAGGACAGGAGGAAGGAAGATGGGAAGAAAAACATGCCCCCACAGTCAAGCAAAACAGACAGAAGCACTGAACGCCAACACTATAAAGTGAAAAATGAAACTTACCATTCTCACTGTCCGACTTGTTTTCGTGCTCTGTATCTGTCAGGGTGAGAGCTGAGTTGGACCGACTTGACAGGCAGGAGCTGCGGCCCGACTTGACCCCCCTGCCCCAAAGTCTCATGGCATGCTCTGGGGACATCACTGCTTCATTTTCAGTATCAGCGTCTGACCCTGCACTGATAGAGTAACCTCTGTGGGGGAGCCCCATTTCCGCACAAAATGCCAGTCCTCTTCGAGTTGCTGGTTCACAAACTCCTAACTGCCTTAGGGTAAAATTCTGTCCTAATTAGGGGGAAAAAAAGATAACAACTAGTGAGTATATGTTTAGCTTTAGTTTTTTCTTTTTTTTTATTTTAAGAAAATCTCCCTAAAATAAATAATCAAGCATTCAGGTTTTTCGGCTATCAGCACCAGGTGTTTACATTAGCATTGCATGGCCTATGACCAAGTGGGTGCAATTATGGGAGGCTGAGGTGAGCCTCCACCACTGACTTTCCACATACCCCAGCTTAGAGCTCCAAGCCCATGAGCACCTCCAGAGAGATGGGCAAGTAAAATAGCGCAGACCATGAAAATGCAACCCAGAGAAAGGATTAGTTATCAGCGATAGAATTTTGTTTAGCAGACTTGTGAAGCCATAGAAATTGCCAGAATTATTTCCTGTCTCCTGGTCTAGTCCTGAACGATAGGATTTTCCACCCAGATGTCACTTCTTTGGAAGAGAAAAGATTTCCCTCAAGAATAAGTTACTTGTTAAGTAGAAACAGGAGCTTGGTCAGGTTTTATTATATCTTCCCACCTGAACTTAACAACCAATATAAATGTGTATTGTGTGTGTGTGTGTGTGTGTGTGTGTATACATACACTAAACTTTGGAGTGTAATCTTGAAAATTTGCAGACATCTGACTTTCTAGACTTTCTGCTTTAATAAACACCTGGAAACATCTGTATCGATCAGAGTAAATCCATTTTTGCAAATAAAGTGTACTCTAAAAATAAAGTGGGAGTATTATGTATTTAAAAATTAATGATAAAATCATGTTCCCTGAAAAATAAATGGCTGTGAACTCTGCAGGCCTTTCCTAATAAATTGAGCATAATAAAACTCATGACACTGCAATAACTTAAAGCAAAAGTGTTTAAATTAGGTGACACTTTTAAATGACTGCTGTTATTAATGACTTTTTCCAATCCTGTATTTATTCTTGAAATTTCACATATGTTTTATGATACGATGGGTGAGAAGAGAGAGAAAAATGTTTGCTTGTAGGATGTATATATATGACCCTTCCATTTCTTGTCTCTTGTTGGCATGGTAGAGTCTGAGATTTAGGTACCAACCAGAATCAAAATACATGTAAAGAATAATAGTATACAAAGATTGATTTAAATGCTACTACATACTATCAACCTTTTAAGAATATTAAGCACTTATATTATTCATAGTTTTCATTTTTTCACTTCTCTTAAATCTATGAACATTTCAAAGTTAATTGGCTGGTATGAGAAATAACACATTACATTTTTTAAAAGAGGGTGTTATAAATTATTTGTGATAATAACATGTTGAATCTTCTAGGAAATGAATCAAACATAATGCACAATACAGTAAATATTTGGTTGTAAAGATATTAGCACCCTCCAGGCCTCCGCACATTTTAACTAGTGTGGTTAATTGCTTTATTGCTGTGGTCATATCAGAAGTTGGAATCAGCCTTATCTCAGTCAGACTTCCAAATGGATTCTGACAATGACACTCATAAATAATGAAAATCTGTTCCTACAATTAGCTACAAATCAAACTGTGCTTATCAGAGAGACGTGAATAAGTACCTGAACCAAAAAGTATGTCAAAAAAAAAAAAAACAAAAAAGAACAAAAAAAAAGGAAATAGCCCAAAAAAAAAAAAAAAACAACGAAAAAACACAAAAAAAAAAAAAAAAAAAGAAAAAACCCAAAAAAAAAAAAAAAAAGAGAGAGAAGAGAAAAATAGGAAGATAGAGCCATGAACAGTGAGAAAGTGAGTAAGTTTGATGAGGTAAGACTCAGTATTGTCAGTATTTTTTCAAAAAATTAGTATGGATTATACCTATGAAAGTAAATTTAAAAAAAGTCAATGTCATAGACAGTTAATGGAACGGCTCTGGAAGAGCTTACCCACTGTTATTTATATATCACATTTAAAACGGAGAGAGGAGAAAAAAGGTCTAAAACAGTTAAATATTACCATCAAATATGCTGATTTTTCAAAGTAAGAATATAAAATATAATTTTTAAAAGGTGAAAATGAATGATCATTGCTCTGCATCTTTCCTCTATTCTGGGAGACACCCACATGGGAGAATAAACATAAGGGAGACGTTCAAAGAGAGCAAGAACTCCCTTTCTAATCTCCGAAACATAAAACCTGAAACATTTTCCACGTTATTGACTTTTCACCCTGTTGCCATCTTGATGCGAAAATCTATGAGGTGAAAGAAAGCAGAAAACTGCAATCTTTATTATTTGTTATCCGGGTATGTAAGCACAGCTCACTTTGCAAATAAATATTCAGTGCATCCTCTCTATGAATTGATATGTGTATCCCAAACTCCTTAAATATCTCACCCTCTGAAATCACTGTCTCACAATAATTCAAAACGCTTAATGGCTGTTTCTGAAATGCAATAGAAAGCAAAGTACAAGCAGAGGAAACCCAGTTAGATTTCCTCACTGAATTAAAAGGTTTGCTTTTGTTTCCTCTAGGAAAGAACGCTAAACTTGACCTCCGAAGGACCCAAGTTAAAGCCACTGACTAGCTCTGTTCAAGTCACCTTACCATTCTATTTTTCCTTCTTTCAAGACTGTCATGACTTGGTTTAAGAGATGCTTTATGTAACTGCGACCAGCATAAAGAAAGGCTAAATGAAAAATGGCTTAAAAAAATAAACACTTGTCAGATGTCATTAATAATCTAGAGAACTGTATAATTTGAGAGTGAGGAGAGGAACATTTTCAAATAATTTTAGAATAGCCACAACACCACCAAAGTAGACTTTTACTTTTCTTTCATTCAAAAATATCTCTACCCCAGACCTGCCTCCCTGCTTCAGATTCTATTGTTGTCAATTCTCTCTTTGGTTAAGGATTCTTGCTCGTAGGATCCCTTGTTTTAATGCAAACACTGCTGGGGAGATCTAGCTATTAAACTAGAATAAATTAGTCTGTTAGATTATTTCTCACAATGTAGCAATGATTAGCAAGATGGCGTATACTTATGGAAAATATATGCAATTTTGACAAATAGAGGGAAGGTGGACAGAAGAAAGGTCCCTGACTGGGAGAAGAGACAGCTGGCTGAGTTATCATGGAGTTGGGGAGATTGGGTGGGTGGGGTTGTTGTGTGTGTGTGTGATGGGGGGAGCTTTAAGGCAATGTAGAGAAGTAGGAAGAGAAAGGCAGAAAAAAGACAGCAAAGATGCTTCTGGAACTAGGCTAAAAACTTCACCATCTTGCCTAAAGTCAGCTTTGGCTTCAAGTAACATGAGAGAGATAAGGATACATTTATTCTTATTTTCCATGGTTTCTTCAGATTGTGTTCTTTGCAATGGTTCTAACACCATCACTTTAATTTCTTTCTTTGCCCTTTAGAATCTTTATATTAATTCTGCTTGGCCGAGATTGGTGAAATAAGTATGTATCTCCTGCATGTTGAATTTTGGTAATCTTGCTCAGCAGGGCCAACAACAGCATTTCCCATTACAATTTGAAACAGTACCAAAACAATAAATTGTAGCAAGAATAAAGTATACCTGAGGATGAAATTCACTGTGATTAAAAGGCAGAGATAGCTTGGATTAGATTAGGCTTTTTTGTTTTATGACACTCATAAATTGAAAATCTATAAAAGAAAAACTGAGTGAACATAACCTAGGCAGCTTGTATCATTAAAAAGGCTCACATTTTAAAAAACAGGTGAGGGTATGTGACCGAGTGAAAAGGACCATATAAGAGCAAATACTTCAAGTGAAGTGAGCACATAGCACATCTACCGCTTTAAAGAAAAGGGGATTAGAAAAGTGGGTTAGCTCTCGGGTCTTTTTCTCACATGGTGTCTATAACCTAGTTAGAGCAGGGAGGGACTTTTCAAAGCTGCAATGCAGAGTGATGTTCACCAATAGGCAAGACATTTACTATCTCTGTGTGAGCTGAAAAGAAAACATGAGGGACTAGCCTCCGAGTTACACAGGGTGACTATATCACCCAGGGGGAGGGTGGTCCAGCATTCGAACTCATGGTATTCTCTCCCCTCCCCTGTCTAGATTTTTCTCTTTCTTTCTCACTTGTTTGTTCTTTTTTTAAAAAACAACTTCATTGAAATATAATTCACAAACCATATACTGCACCCATTTAAAGTATACAATTCAATGGTTTTTACTACATACATTTGGTGTGCAACTACCACCACAATCAATTTTAGAACATTTTTATTACCCCCAAAAGAAACTTGTACCAATTATCGGTCACTTTCCATTTCCCCTCTTACCTTGCCTCCCCCCCAGCCCAAGGCAACAACTAATCTACTTCCTGTCTCTATAGATTTGCCTATTCTGGACATTTCAAAGAAAAGAGATCCTACAATATGTGTCGTTTTGTGTCTGGCTTCTTTCACTTAGCACTGTGTTTTCAAGGTTCATCCATATTGTAGCATGTATCAAGATTTCATTTCTCTTTATGGCTGAATAATATTCCATTGTATGAACATACCACATTTTATTTACCCATTCATCAGTTAATGGACATTTGAGTTGTTCCCACTTTTTGGTTATTATGAAATGCTGCTATGAACATTCATGTACAAGTTTTTATGTAGATAAATGCTTTCATTTCTCTTGAGTATACATCTATGAGAGGCATTACACGGTCATATAGTAACTCTGTGTTCAACCTCTTGAGGAACTGCCAGACTGTTTTCCACAGTGGCTGCACCATTTTACATTCCCACCAGCAGTGTATGAGGGTTCTAATTTTTGCATATCCTGACCAACACTTGTTATTATCTGTTGATTCTCTTTTATACCACACTGCAAGTTGGCAATGTGGAGGTCATTGGTATTGAAATCTGGGGAATAAACCAAAAATCATTGTTCTCCTAAAAAATAGTTGATTCTGTGAGCCTGCTAGGTAAATTCATTATTACTTTATTCTGTTATTTTTCTCTTTGCTTTCTATTATGCTGCTTTTATACTTGAAAATAGTTTTCTACTAAGATTAAAAGTACTTGGGCCGGCCCCGTGGCTTA